TTTAATAGCTAAATAAACTAACGCAAGGTCTTGGCTCTATACAGAATTTTTCGTGTACAATCATTTAAATCTTGAAAATTTTGTGTCGGTAAATTTACATACACATGTACAGATAAAATTTAACCCACTGCTAGTTTGGGAATTTTTTTCTCAACAAAAAAGCTGAAATTCAATGTTAATTTGGTGTGGTACTAGAAACTTTCAAAATCATAGACCGTCAAAACAATGATTTGTTAAAAAGTGATTTCATTTTCTATAAATATGAACAATTTTTAAAGATTCTATCGAGACTAACATTTGGGGTTTTTCTTCGTAAGGCAAGCGAAACGAAAGCAGGGAAATATTACAAGCCACTTCCTCTTTCATGTATGTGCAATAATTAAAGGCACATTTGGGGCCAATTCATAAGTAAAACTTCATACATGTACATCAGTGGATTACAAAACTTGTATTTTGTAACAAAATACAATTTATCGCAAGTGGGTGATTTTGTACATGTTTAGGATGTTTCTTTAAAGAATGTTAATGACTAAAAACACGAAACGTAAATAACATACGGCAAGACATTAATGCATGACTTTCTTCATCCAATCTAACAACTGTTGAAAAAGGGAAAAACTACAGAATTAAGGATCTGGAGAAGAAAACATCCGAGAGTAATTTTTAGCTCTAATGTGAAGGCAAAGCTCTCACTTTGGAGTAAAACTCTGCATGTATTTGTACTGTACTCTGTCTACCTCAAATTTTGTACACAACACTCATGCTGAGAACATCTGAATTTCGACGGTGTGTACAAAATTGTGCAAGTTTTTCTTGATTCATTCCGCAAGAGGACAGGAGAAAACAAAATGCAGCACTTCATAAAATTGAGGACCACAAGTCCATGTCCAGCTGAATGCTGACTAAAACCGGAACTAGGCAAAATGTAACAGGCACATTTTGAACTTTCTGCTTTCGATAATTTCTTCCCACTTCTAATAAAGAGTAGACAGAGAAAATTTTGAGAAAAGGCACTTTGATAAATACTGTATGGAGGATGCATAACACGCACAATAGCAATGCTGACAAACTGTACATGTAAGAAAATAGACAAACTTTGGAGAATTCAGCATTCTTTGATAAACCCTTCTGTTTCATTTCAAGGTGAATACATTCAGAATTTTTTTAAATACATTAACATGCATATATACATAAATCTTACTTTAAATTAGACATAATATGTTTTATAGGAAAGACATACTCTGGCTTCACCCAGTGACAATCGGGCTTGGGCACATTTCCCATCCAAATTTCTAATTTCATTTGCTTTTTATACCTTTTAGTCATTTTTTTGGGGGGGTGCAGAACATCTGTAGTAGTGGGAATGTTTCCAAGATGTAATAAAGAATGAAATTGCCGAAATAAAGCAGCAAAATGGTGAATAAAATCATGAAAAATGAATGAAAATGATGAACATGGAAATGCTAGAAAGCCTATGAAAAGCTACACGAAACAGAAGTATCTTGGCTTCAGAAAAGAACATATTTTTTAGCACAACACGTACAACTTAATATTTTTCAAAAGATCAAAGCCAAAAGTTTCTCTCCAAGAACACATTCCTAACTGACATCCGTCTATATATATCTACACGTATTGCACCGAAGTTGACCAAATACCATTCGTCATTTCTGGAGAGGTAACCTTAACAAAAATGGTTCTCCAAGCAATGGTTCTACAAAATTTTCTGCAAGCATCAGCTGTCACTGGGTTAATCCTTTCTATACACATCCAACCACTAGCACACCGGTTTCAATAAATCTTTTATTTACATCCCATGTTTTGTTATGGCAAAATTGATACAATTACTCCTTTTTTTCTGTCACACTGAATGCACCAACGAAGTATATTTATGGACTAATTTCTGGACAATGCCAGTGTTGTAAGTCAAGTCCCAACAAGTCAATCACAACTTCGCCCCAAGTCAGTCAGTCTCAAGTTATAAATCTCAATTTCTCTGTCCTCCGTTCATTCTCTTTTACTTGAGACTGGACCTGGGATGCGGCTTGGCGTTGAGGCTTATCTAGTGACGGGCTTAACTTGAACTCTGGACAATCCCACCTTAGGATGGACCCCGTCATGACGACAGGTGACAGGTGGCCGATCGTCCAGAAGGGCAGCTAAAGGAAGGTGCCAGATGGGGAGGGGGGATTCTACTCAAGTCCAAAGCCCTCAGCATTTGAGATGGCAATAGTAATCTTATGTTTCAACTGCCGTCTGCTCTTATAAGGTGGTAGGATCAGCTGGTTGAAGCATGTATGTGACATGGGCAGCCTGTACAAGTGACAACAAAAAAAGATCCAAATCAGTAATATCCCCCCATGCAGTCTTTCAAATTTGCGCTCCACAACCAATGGAACTAAAATGTTCAAAAGTGCATGCAAACACAATCGAGTGCGACAAAAAAAGATGTCTCAGACATGTACAATGCTCCCTTCATATGGCAACATCCGTCTAAGCATTCAACAAAAAACCTAATCCAAGATTTATACTCACATGCTGGTGGAGGCATTCACTTTAACAATCTTGAAAGTCATCTCTCCCATTCCTCCGATTGGGATGCGATCACTACCTGTTGCAAACAGCATCAGCTTCTTCTGTAGAGCTACAGGGAATGCTTTCACTACCTCCCAGAAGTACCTGAGAAGGGTGGGGGAAATAGAAGAGAAACTGAAGAGTCAATCAACTTGGGCCCTGCGAGCAAAAAGCAATAAAATCAACATTCTGACAAGAAGTTCATCCCACAGCGTCATTTCACAACCCGTCCCTTTTTGTTATTCATCCCCGTCCACTTTGCCGTTTGATTATACCTTATAGTCTGGTCCTCTTTGGTAAATCCATCATACGTAGTGACTTTCTCCAATGCGTCCAGGTCTAGGTTTGGACTCCCACACACCAGCATCTCAACCTCCTCTGGTCTGAGCATGATCAGTGCATTGGAGGCACAGACACTGTGGAAGCCATGATAGAAGGCTGCAAACTGCTGGTATATGGAGTCATTCAGAAGATATTTCAGGTACAGCTCAACGTATTCTGGACACGGAAAACAAGATGCTTCAATCCTTAGCTTTTTTTTAGAGCTATTTAGTTTAATATCAGATGTTCCATTTCCACTTTTTTGTACTTTTTGAGTGTGAGTGAAGATCATCAACTAACACCATGGGTTAAGGATCCTACAAAAAGTTATCAGCATAGCTACAAACATATAAAATAAATTTTTTATGGTTATCAATACCTTTGTACTTTTCACACAGACAAACTAATTTCTGTTCAGAAAAAACTTTTCTGTGACCTTTGAAAAGTTCTCCAAAAGACAAGGCTTGTTTCTTTATTAAGATATTTTGTGTTATGGCAACCTGTATCATAATGTAGAATATGATGTCACAAGTATCATTTTTTTTAGTTTGCACTTGGCACTGCTAATTTATTCCAGAAAATCCTCAAATAAGCAATATGCTTTGTACCTCTCCTGTTTTCATTGGTGACTGGTATACTGGCTCCATCTGGCTTGAGATCTATAGTCTGCACAGTTCCATAGACTGGAAGGGATATCTGGATAAAAAAGAGCAGCAAATGTATTCATACCCATTTTACCAGACAGTGATAAGAGAGAGATATCTCGATATCAGAACTTTAACCCCTTCATACCGGAGCAGTCCGGAGCCGTGGCTTTGTGTGAGGATTAGCGCATACCACACATACAGTCTATTCACCAAGCAGCTGCTGGTTCTATGGGGCCTGCTGCTGGACAGAGCTTTGCATACCGGGCATATTGCAGGCCAGCAGACATGGTCAAAAGAATCCCGGCGTGAACGGGTTAAAAGGGCAACAAAAGTAAAACAATTTGCCACTCTAAAGTCAGCAGAGATGATGCAAGTTCTATCCTAATGCGTCGCTTTTTATTCATATTATTTTTAACTAGTTAGTACTATTATTCAAAGTCGGCACTGCAGTACAAAAAAGGAATTATTGACAGTGCTAGATCTTAAAGGTGACTCCATGAGTCAGTTTACCTGGAAACTCATGCAAAGGTCATCCTCAACGTTACCCTCGTAGGTGAGCAGCTCCTTTAAACCATGGGCCAATTCCTGAAGAAGGGAACGGCAATTGAAAAGTTGATTACCAAAAATACATGTATAGCTGGCAATTTTTTTTTATAGAATGTAGAATCTGAAATTACATCAAAGAGTACAGTAAAAAAAATTTACAAGGTTCACTGAATGTTGGAGTAATCTGAGCTTGCCCGATATTCATTACTGTATATAATGTGAGTCACACTTCAAAAATGTAATTCTTTGCGTCAGGCTTTTTTGGGACACAGTTCCTCTTGGTCAGTGATGTGGTGATAGCTGTCTCAACACTCACCGGGTTGACCTGAGCGAGGTCTTCCTGGGTGACCGACGTCCGACCCACCTCAGCCCCAGGATTGTTGTAAGGCACCACGGCAGGACTGAGGAGTTTCCGGTAGGTACAAGCTGGGAAGTGAATATCTAGAATGATGCTGTTGTACACAGCTAGACCCATCAGCTTGTACAGAAATTAGTCAGTCAAGGCGATGTAACAATGGGAAAACGTGACAAGTTTACATGCTCAAACTGATGGTGGATTATTTACCTCTAACCCCCTAGGGACCATTGAAATCCTGCATAACCTTGTTCAGTTCAGCATGGTTAGGGTTAAGCAAATGGTCTAAGTATGGTTAGGCTGATGGTGGATTATTTAAGTATTGAGGCACTGGGCAAGAGACGTAGCAAGCACAATTTTTGCACACAGACATGTTTGATTCGGACCCATAATTTTCTTAATTTTCAAAGTCTTTGCATCGGAGAACACATACTTCAAGTTACTCCTATATCACATGGACATTATACATCAAATTAGGGCCGATTTATAGTGTGCAATTTACTCAACTTAGAAACCTGAAAACTGACAAAGGATACCACTCCCACTAAGTTAAATTCCTGATTGCAGTCCACACAAGCTGGGTTGAACCAGAAGCACCGAGACTTGTCGTTGTAGGTAAACATTCCTGTAGAAAACAAGCAAGTAAAAGATGAAATTAAATTCACAGATTCAATAGATTTCGTTAACTGCAAAGTGGGTTCCCAGAGACAGAAACTAAGGACAAGTTTGATCAGTGACAATTTGTTAACCACTGGTTGATTTTGCCTGGTGCATGGTATACATTTCATGCATCTGTTACAAGTCAAAATCGCTGAGATCCAGGACTTACCATACTCTTCTTTGAAGATCTTTCTGAGAAGGAGCAGAAACCACTCCTTGGTCAGCCCACCCATGTCCAATCCGGGCTCATTGTGGAACTGCACTCGAAGCTTCTTCTTCAAGTCAGCTTTCTTCCTCGCGACCTTCAATGCACAGAATTTGGGAGACATTCAATCATGAAACAGTCCACTCCCATAAATCTTCAATTTGCATATTTAATTAATCCGCATATTCACTGTCTGTAGCTTTTTACACAAAGGAAGTTCCATTCTGATTGCCAAATGCCTTGAAAAATCTTACTCTTGCCCTTGCCAACTGATCGCAAAATTCCCGCTGGAGTAATCTCAGAAATTCTACTCTCAATTTGTGCCACAGTCAATGACACTTATGCATACAGTCCACAAACATAGTAATTGATAATCATAAAGTAATCTGTCCAGTGTCTTGTTAAAGAAAAATGAGTGCAGGACTACCTCATGTAGAGAGTCTGAGACAAGGTGTGACCGGCGCACCTTCAGGTTCAAAAACAGCATGTTCATGTTGGGCATCTGCCTCTGCTGGACCTTGGCTACCAGACTTCTCTGCAAGATGGCGGGAGAAGCATAAAAACAAAAACAATTCAGTTTTTAAAAACAGACACTCATCAGTAGCCAACATCATTTATTCAGTGAATTCCTGCTTGACACAGGGGCAAAAAGTGTATATTTTGTCATCTGTGTAACATGCAAAACACTGGCACTTCAATACTTTTCCTGAAGCATCTTCCAGTTTTGATGTTCATTTCTTGATGTTTTTTCATGACAACTTCCATTTAAAAGCTTCTTCTACGTGACATGCATTGCAACAAAATAAAGCATACAAACCTTATGCCAAGTTTGATTATTCCCCCTTTTTTCGAAGGATATATGGCTGCACCAGGAACAAAATAAAAAGTAGTCTTAGACCAGGGTGGGGTGTGTGTGGAACAACTCACCCTCGCTGTCATGATCATCTGCTGTTCTGAGTCTTTCTGCATGATGGTACGCTTAGCTTGAAGACTTAGAATGAACGGGTATTGGCAGAAGGTGAATCTGCAACACAGAAATGCAAAAAAGCCCATAGGACGTTGACAATGAAGAGAAATGTACTCAGTGTTGAGAGCAGGTGTAAAGCACCTTAGCAAATCAATTAAACTACATTCTTGCTTCGCGTCCATTTAAGGTGTATATTCTGCATATTCAGCCGATGGGGGCAGTGTACACAATCTTACGTTTGGTAATTGTTGGGACTCTGCCAAGCGTAATATTCCTTCATAAGATCTACATGGTCCAAGGTGTTGTTGTAGAAGCAGGTGTAGACAATCTTGTTTGGGACTGTTAACGAGTTGGCTGCATCTGTGAGAATACAATGAAATCCTCCAATCAGCAAGTTTATATACATACATGTACATACATGTATCTCCTTTCACTTTGGTTTTGAAAAACTGGTCTTTTAAAATTTATCAGTGTTTCAAGGCAAAACAAGTGCACTGAGGCTGCATTGAGAAAGCACAAGCTTAACTGGTGCTCAACATTTGAAAAAAGAACACATACATTCCCTTTCTTGAGAGGCCATTGTAGAATTTCCTCAATTTCAGGAACTTATGACGGAGCCAAAGTTTTGAATTTACAGAACAGCTCATGAGCATCGAGCACAGTCGAGACTTACTGAGCAGTGCCAGGACTTTGGTGACGGAGGGTATCCACCAAGAACACTTGCCAATGGGTGGCAGATCAGCTGGCTCAGGTGGAAACAGCCGGATGGAGATGAATTGAATAAGTCGACTGACCATGTCCCTAAAGGTGTCATTTGGAAGTCTGCAATTAAAAAGCAATAACGGTACGGTGATTATGACTAACAATGTGATTACCGGTGTTACCCATTTGTTGGGTGAATAATCCTTCCAGGACAATTTTTCAAAGTCTAGAAATTTAGCCTTTCCGAAACTCTTGTGCTTTAAGAAGTTGAATGACACAACTAACTTCGCTTTCCCAAATTACATTTCATACTTCTAAGAACCACATGTACACCAAGACTGCTGATACAAATTATACAAAATCAATTGACAATTACCATCAAAAGTTAAAAAAATCTGCAACAGGTATCATACAAGAATGGAATAATTATTACTGGCTTGAAACACGATCTTAATTAATGAAGATGCTGCGGAGGACAGTTTGGGTTCCAAGAAGTACATGTGCGTAGGTGAGGCGAAAATGAGACACTTTGGCAAACCTTTTGAACCAGTGGACGAGATAATGATGGTCCTGATCACAGAGACCTGCAACCTGCCGTAGTAGGTGAGCAAAGATGACATAAGTGGATGTCTGTCTAAACTGAGGGTTCTGCATGAGAAGGAAAACAAAAGCCGTTCGCTAATGATACATGTAACAGGTAGTGCATGGGGGGGGCTGATACCCGGCTCTGTCTCCATCTCAGGCTTCATCCATTACAAACATTTAGGCGAGCATTGTTCAAATAAAATTAAATCACTTCAATATGTTGGTTGCTAGAATGTACTTGTTGGCACTATAAGACTTAGTACTGAGCTAAAAATATCAAAGCAGAGCTGAGAATTAGGACCCCCCCAGTTCATTCCAATACTTTGTGTATTCCCCCAGCACTTTGCCCGAGTTACAGTTTGACTCTAAATTGTGCAGTTAGTGAGACTTTGAGGCAGCAAAGAAAAAAAATAAAAACTTGTTTTCCTACATGTCTCAAAATTTACTTCCCATAATTACATTCAAAACTGACTTTCCATACTTTAGTTCAAATCTGAGTTAATTATGTTTGTCTGCACGACACCACACAATTATGTGTTTTTTATTTGTATTTTTTTATTCTAGGTTTTTCTTTCTTTTGCTATTTATTTTTTTTCATATAATTTCCAACATTTGTAGTACAAAACACAATGCTGCTTCCAAGGAAACGTGAACAATAGAGCCACTATCTGCAGAAATAGCTGCACCGCACCGAAATTGACTTCCAACAACCTTAACAATATGGAAATAACGTAGCCTTAAATCAAGGCATATCAAGGCCATACATAATGAATCGCAAAGTAGAGAAGGTAATTATACTAGAAAAACATACATGTATAATAGTATACATGTACAATGTACATGAGATACACCTGTAAAATCTAAGTGCATGATAAAATCCACATCTGTACTTGTGCCTGGCATAGATTAAACAGGTACTTGAATGCATATCAAGGACAAATATATTCCTGATATAAAAAACATGATGCAATAAGAACATCTTTAGAATGACACACACTGCTGCCTTTGAGAAAAAATTATCTAATTTAAGATTATTTCAAATGATTCAAAATGTTCAAGAATTTCAAAATAATATTACAAAGATAACTTCAAAACTTTACGTGTATGTAATTTTAGTTACTTATTTTTATGTAATTTTACTTTCATTAAATCTCATGAAGATACGCATCCACTGTTACATGAAATCAAAATAGGAATCAATAAAAACATAAATGACAAATAAAAATACAAATGTAACATTTTCTTACTTTTTATAAAACTGTGACGAAAATAAGCTGAAAAAATGGAAAGTCTACATATTTGTCCATACAGCAATATAAAACAAACAAAATCACCCCCCCTTGGTTCAAGACTTCACGGGTAAAATATCCTTCACATCAATTAGTCGAGCAGAAAAAGGCCAACTTTATTCTAAAACTGGACTCCTCAATTAATGCCCAAGGTATACATGTGTCAATATCATTACAGTCAGGTCTTAATGTGCAGAGAAAGGAAGAACAGTTAGTTGTATGAGGGCTTGTTATGGTTCTAACAGTCTTACGTTGATCAATACTTTATTGATCAACGTACATGTAACTACAGAGTCCCAGTTTGCATGGCTGTGCTATTTACACTACTTGTGCTTGTTGGGGTAGTGTTGGCTTCAACTGCTTTTCTGGTGGATAAAGTGAAAAATGTGGGTTGTTTTCTTGTCTTTTCTTTATGTCAACTTTTGTCTCTTTCTGGTACTTAATATGTACAATGAAGTTATTCATCTTTCTGTGTGAAGTTTCTACTTACCTGCAACAGAATAAGATAAGCTCTTAAGTCATTCTTATCCCTTGGCCTACAAGAACAACCAAATAAAACCACATTGTCATAAGCAATGCCCAGAAGAAGTCAGCAAAATGTGTTCTGAATCAGCCATTCAATTAACCCTTTGGTTGATGAAATTTGACACTTGACTTTCTACTTTTGCTGCGTCTAAAACAGCAAATACATGTACATGTATGTTGTATTTCCAGATCTACACCTAGGCATGAAGGCCTCACCACAGTGTGTTCAGTTCTGTTTCAAGTTTCATGACAGAGCTGCTACAGATTTTAACTCAGCTTGAGGAAATCTGTGTCCCTAAGCATGAGTTTGTTACAGTTAATGTTATTCTGCTCTTTACAGGATACCTTCAAAATTTAATGTTTTTGTTGTTGACTGAAAATGATGATTGCTACTGTAAAATCACTGTCTTTTTAAGTGAAGAACATCAAACCAAGATTTCTTGAATTTAATGAAATGCTGAAATTCCCGAACACAACTTACACTTCAGAATGTTAGAATCTTTCTTTAAAAAAAAGTCATTTCCCTTCTTCCCTCCAGATCTCTAGGGAACTCCGCCTGACTCACTAACCCTTACTTTTTCATGTCTTTCAGAAGGCTATTGATGATGGCTTTTAGCGTTGTCTTCTGTATCTCTTCAGGTACCTCCAGAAGGTGTTTAAAGACTGTACTAACATAGGCCTGGGATGTTCCAGGGTCTTCTGTGCTCCTAGGGTCTTTACCTGCTTCCTGTTGGGAAGGCAATGGGGTGCATGGGACAAGACAAACTTCATGAGTCATTTTAGAAGGGAAAGGGATACTTTTTTAGCTCACCTACAGTCTTATAACCCCGAGACATTACTACGATTAAACCCTACCCGATGAATCTAATTCCATTTATAGATCAGATAGGCATAAGTTTAAAGCAAGCATTCCAGTGGTGCAACTGTATTTTTTATTGCCAAATCCTACAATACTCTAAGGAATCCCAAAGCAGATTGACAACTTTTACTGGATAGGCAGTAATCTAATACAATACACAATGTAGGAGAGGCATTTGGAGATGAAAACTCCAGGAAATGTCCAGCACAGGAGTTTTAACAGTGAAAATAAAATTCAGGGATTTTAATAGCTAGCAAGGGGTGAATTCTCTTATAAACGGCTTCTTGTGAACCTTTTTCTGGATTTCCCAGATATATGTATACTCTGTAAGGGCAAAACAGCAGCAAATCCTGAAGATCAATCCTCTAAATATCTACAATGGGGGGGGAATCCTTAAATCACACCCTGGACAATGTGACTGTCTTACCATAAATGTGGCATTGATGTGTGAAAATGAGCTGAAGGCTAACTCGTAGAAACCCTGTACTTTCTTGAAGTTCTCCGATGCTTTGGCTTTGGATAAACATTCTCTGCAACAAACAACAAAGCACATGTTGTGTCCAAAAAATGCATGCACACATAGGCAGACAAACATGTTAAGTTACATGTAAGCTTCATGTACTGTACCAGTACTTGCAGGGGTTCCAAACTGCTACGCTTCCAACTGATGCTTGACATAGTGGTTTCTTCTCTTCACGTGCATAGCGCGGTTGCATTTGTACCCCAATGTACATGTTTTCACATTACATATAATTTTTTAAAATACATGTAAAAGCAAAAAAAAAAGAGAGAGAGAAAAAAAAGCAAATTTGTTTTTTAGTGAAAACTCAAATCAACCTACATGTATCAGCACACGTGCAAAAAAATAGACTTTTCTTTGACAATACACATGTACTTCATAGAACTTACATTTCTCCAATATCTTTTTCATATTGTTACCAAACAATTTTTCGACACAATTTTCTGTAAATTTTCTGGGTTTGCATATGTACACATGAAATTGTTTCCTCTCCGATTTGCTTTATATATACCATACATAACTTTCTAATTTTAAACAAAATTACTTTGTAGATAATACTCCCTTCCCGTCTCCCCCAAATCCTCACCTCTTGAATTGAACTAAGATAATAATCTAATGACAAATTAAATGGTATTTTTGCAAGACTGGCATCCTTGACCAAGTACACACCTGCCAATCCGCACCCATTGAATAATGGATGATTGACCCTTGTATAGAGCTTAATTACTCTTTTAAAAGCTCAACAACAAACATACAATATTCATTGCTACTGTGTAAGTCAATTTTGAAGGTGCACCTACATGTAAGTTTGAGCAAGCCTTTGGAATGTTTTTCTCACAAGCAAAACACTTACATAACAGTATACAACCTGCTTGATAACATCCAGGGGCTGATCATTTATTCCTTATTAGCAACAAAGAAATTTTGATGCTTCACTGAGAGACGCAATGCTGTCCAACTCAATCAAGTAATCATCAGGGCATGCGAGTAAGTCTTCAAGCGTAGAAATTCAGAACAAATTACGTGGCGGTACATGTATATGTATATTGCATCCACACACACATGTCCATGTACAGTACATGAAGTGTGTGAACTGATAATTAGGGATCATGAAAATCACATGTTTCTTGAAGATTACATGTCCAGGTTCGATGCCATGTACATGTACAGCACATGATATTTTTCATAATTTGACCTTTTTAAATTTATGTGATTTCATGAACTCTTTTCTGTTAAATGGGATAAACGCCCATATTTTCTTCAAAATGGGAACCGGTGTTCTGCTTAACATTTCATATTGAAAGAAAATAAATGCATGCACATGTACATGTACACTACATTTACAAACATAATGCCTTCCCAACATTCCCCAAAAAATGTCAAAAAACGACAAAGTAATCTATAAAATTCTGAGGAAATACATTCTGTATACAAGGTTTCTATAAATCATTCAAAGAACTGCCAGTAACATTCCTTTCATTCATTTTCCTGCCTGCTTTTCTTCACACAAAATGAATAAAAATTTTAAAACCTAACGAGAAAATCCTGTCTATATGCAAAGTATGATGAGTACATGTAGGTGTAGGGGAACAAAACTACAGAATCAACTGAGTGATTTGACGGATACTCACTTAAACTGCTTGAGTGTCATGGGAGTGTAACCTTGTAGTATTGCCTCCTTCCCTTTGTGTAAACCTTTGCCACCCAAGCTGGGTGCACTCTGCGACACCATGGCTTGGCCTGGGTTGATAGCGGGAAGGCCCTGCTCCGATGACGGCCTACCTTTGGTGTTCATCTCCTGCTCGTTTCCTTTCTCCCCTTTTGCCTTTCCCCCACCCAGTGAGCTGAAGAAGTTGGTGATCCCGGAGAACCTACCACCCTTGTTGGTTTTATCCTGAGATGAATAAAAGTCTACGGGGTAACGAAGATCACAGCAACTAACGTAATTCATTACATTGAATAGTCCTTCAGGTATTTACATGCAAGTTTATCCCCTACTTACCGGTATGAACAACAACGACAACAATCATTTTAAGTATGAAATTTTCAGCAGGAAAAACTTCTTCCAACATTTTGTTGATCATTTATGGTTACATTCAATTAAGGGCACAATTAAATGTTCTCTACATGGACCAATGTGTTCGTGTTTTTATGCACATTTCTCAGAGCGAAATTATTTTTAAAAAATGACAGTGCACTTACATGTATGAGACAAATGGGCTTGCAATGAAATGTGCAATGGGTTTCAATATATTACTTTCCATTTCAAAGGTGACAGCTGAATAATGCAATGAAATTAAGACTTGTCTTATACCGTACGTCTCACATCTCTACATGGATACAGATAAAACTTTATCAAATCCAAAATGGGAAATTATACTTTACCATAAACACAAAAATCACACAGAACAGCATCAAGCACATTGCCATTGTACGCAATACAAAACATTGATTACATGTATTTCAGAGTGTGAAAGATCTGGGCGACTGTAAAAACCCCTTCCCCAAAGAACACTAGTAGGTAACTTTAAAATCATACAAAACAGTAAAACCCAAAATTTCATTGACTATCGTACTTGCTCATTCAGGGGTGTCGTCAATTAGTTGAGTACACAATAAATAATTACAATATTAATTTCAATGCTAAAAAATTTTACTTTAACCCTAACCGCCAAGCATATTGTTTGGCTTACAGTACTCAGTACTACAAAATACTAAGTAACAGCCAGAGCCTGAAGGGCCTAGTGCTACAAATTACTACTTCTGGCTAGGTTACTTCCATTGTTACTCATAGAGAGAACAATAAAGCCGTGCATTCATAGTGCCAGAGCGCTGTATGGTACATGTACATTGTCTTTTCTATTGCATTTTATGGCTTCAGAGAATAATACGGTCATGTCATGTTACAAGCGGCAGCACTGATTACATTTTACTATAAGTAGTAATTTGTAGTATTATGTAGGGTTAAGGTTAAAAATGCTCAAGTCCTGTACCAATCCGTGCTTCATGTAGACACATTTATATTAACTACAGATGTAATTGTAAGAGGTGCCCACCGCAATGATGTAGATACTGAAAACCAGAAAATTATTAATGATGTAACCATGGTTACAGCAGCCATGGTGCGCATGGGCTTACAGGTACCGGTAAAAAGGCCTTGCGCAAATTATTGATGGTGTAATGACGTCACAATTACATGCAAAATGAAGAAGCTGCATTTGTGTGGGGGGACAGGAGTTGAAGTCAGGGTTCAGATTGCATCAACGAGCCACGTTCTTCCATGATAAACTTTCATATTTGGTGAATAACGGGAAACCTTTTCCAATGAAGTTTTATAAAAATTTGATATAAAAACCAACCCGAGGTACGTGTAAATTTCATTTGAAGTAAGTTGAATAAGCCAGTTTGGTATTCTAACAGCGCATGCCCAGTAAGAGGCTATTCAGGAAAAGCTACATGTAGGCATACGCGATATTCTGGCCTACACGTATAAGCGCAGCCATACGCTGACTCATGCGTGCGATTTGTTCCCAAAAGACCTAGGCTTTTTGAAATACTGAACTGGCTCACTATTCCTGATTTCTTCATGCTGGTGCTGTTTCTTTTCTTCCTACATACATGTACATACATGTACATTCAGCTTTTCTAGTAGCCTATTGAACAACTTTTTACTTCCTAAAAATTGTCAGTTTGATTTCATTTACACATGTAACAGCACGTTTCTTAGCAATTTCAATTAAAAAAAAACAGCAAACTTCTTTACATTTTATGCTGTGAAAAAACTAATCATTTACATCACAACTGTTGTAATTTGCAATGTAATACATGAACATGTACTGTAGCCTTACATACAAATTAAATTTGTACCAAGTCTAGACCCCTGAACATGGCTCTACACACTTCGATACATGTACATGTACATAGTACTGGTACAATGTACACGTATGTACATGTACATGGCTTATTCCAGAAATTAGGGGTCTTTTTTTCATGTCCCTGTTACATCTACATACATGTATGACTTTGTATGTTCAGAATGCATTTTCTAATTGCCGAAAGTGATGAATTAATGCAAATTACCTGCCAAACACATGTAGTAATAATTCAATTCTGGTGATATTTCTACTTCAAATAACAAAGGTCAGATGTAACAGGTACACGAAAATGTCTCACTTTTGGTCCCCTAATTTCTGGAATTAACCACATACATACATGTACATGTATTATTACATGTATTGAAGAACATATGCACAGTGTCCAAATGTTTTCATCCCATGATGATTTCATACAGAAAACACACTAACGCAGTTGCATAATGACAAGAAGTGGCTGCATGTAATGAAAAACCTGCTCAAATTAAAGATGCCACAGTAAACTATCATGCATATTTGCACAAGGGAAAGCTTAATTAACCTGATGTTCTGTACTAGTGGGAAGACAATAGTACACAGTTTGATACACGCTGCAATAACCATACAACAAATACCACAATCTCTTGGTGACTTTACTCTATCACAGAGCGGTTGGAAACCACTGGTTGCTGCTTTGTTTTAATATCTGCCACTGTGTCATCCAACCAAACTGCTACTGGGAAATGTTACAGAGAGAGCAATCATAGCAACAAATGTTTACCGGGGACACTGGAAGATGAGTTGCTTTATCGAAATGGTACATGTACGGTTGGGGGAGCATAAATAGTTGACAATGAAAGACAAGAAACTCCAGCAGGCCTACCAAATTTGGTTTGATTCAACTAAACTTTGATGAGGAATGTTAGATACCAGTAAATACAAGTTTACACTAGAAGCAAATATCTGTTATCAGGGAACTGAAGTTACATGATTTTGAACTAAATGTAACAAACAAAATTGAAAATTCACTGACCTAATTAAATAATAATACAGGTAATTGACTTGCATTATTTGGTAATTGAACAAGGTACATGTACATGTAACATTCATGCGTGTACGTACATGTACAAACAAATAATTACTGCGGCATAACCTCAATGTACATGTACCAGTAGTTTTCTGGTCAAATATTATGATTCACGAACAAAGGATGCATGAAACAATGACTGTCAAGGTAAAGTTATTATTTAGACTGAAAGCAGGCCAGCATACTGCATTCATGACTTGAATACATGTATCTGGTGAAATCTCATTTTTTAAGAAAGAAAGGACACATTATACGTGTACGTTGAAATGCATTTTAAAGTACATGTACATGGCCAAGTCACAAATGTACCGGTACAGTGTATTTCAGTTTGCATGTCTGCAAAAGTTTGTCTCCTACATATACCGTAAATGTACACGTACATGTACGCATGCATGGTAATGTGGAAACCTATGTGAATTATTTAGATCCATGTGCAAACAGCAACCATGTCTCAACAGCACAATGAAGCAATATTGATTTGTACTATCCCAAAACAGGACAAACGCATTAGAAATCGTTCCACAGCCCGGCAAACACAGCCCACTCCACACGGTAATCAATATCTGATTCTTTTCTATTTCACATTAGCAGCTTGCCTTCAAAAACTTGAACGAAGGAATGTACGTGCACAGTACACATTACTGCCACAAGAACTATTGAAGTTCTGCCTTGAATATTTATTCTATGTATTCAACACATCCATGTATTCCGTGCTTGCTGTAAATATTGTAAACTGTAGTAATGATTCTGAAAAGCCTCAAAGTTTTAACAAGACACAGCACTTTCATTCTGTTTCTTCCATATTCGGAATAATTGCAGAATACCCTGCCACTCTAAAAAAAAAAAAAAACCCAGAATGACTGGTTACTTGGGTACAAGGTGAAAATCCCTTGAGAAGAGTGTGACCCTCTGACTTGTACCTGGCTATGGTTGATCATGCAGGGTGGTGGGGTATTCTGCAATTGAGCCCCCATAGGAATTTAAAGTTTGGGAGAAAGGACAACTTTAACGGTAAGATTATATTTTTTCTACAAAAAATGTCAACAAAATGTCTTTGCATCAAATTGTATCTTGGGCTTTGTACATCATGCCCAAAATTACTGTTCAGCACAATCGTAATTCTTGCGCAAATTTATTATACTCCCTCTTTCAATCTTCTATAAATGGATTTCCATTCAAAGGCAACTCAACTCAGGACGGAGAACAATAAATTTCTGTACTGAGCATTATTAATAACTGGTAACATTCTGTAGTTGGCTGTCTCACCTCCAATAAGAGCAATTTCATGCATGAGCATACATGTATATGTACATACATATTTCATACAATTAATGTGACTGGGAAGGGAATTCATTACGAAATGGGCAAGTGTCACACATGCACTGCTGATGCCAAATAACTTGCTTTACTTTCAAGTCATGTTCATAGGCCAACTGTTCACCTTCAATAACAGAATTAATAAAAATAAAATGTCATGAGAACTTTAATGCTATACGTAGGTGGCCTTATAATGTTTGTTTTATGTCCGCTTTAATGACTGTATTCCGTCTGTTTGTTTGTTTGTATGTTTGTCCGTCAGGGTGTTTGTTTGCACAAGTCTTGGGACTGAATGGCTGTTAGCAACAGTGATTATGTTCACTTTTTTAGCATTTTAGTGCCAAATAAATAATAGTATTCATCATATTCATAATGAAAATATTTTTTATAATACTGCATGTCCATGATGTTGACTTCTACTCTAAAAACTACATGATTTCTCGTCAAGCGTCAAGGTCAATACAAATGAAAGTTTGGGGGAAAATTAAATGTAGGCCTAGGCCGCAAACAGCAAAGCAAACCAAAGTTGCACAACCGAAAACGGCCAAATTTTAAAATTTGTTTCGGAAACTCAGAAATATTCTTACATTTTTGTCAGCAGAAGGTGTACGTAGCGACGGCAGTCTGTCATTTACACTGTCTGTCATGGCCTGGTGCGAGTACATCCCCACGTCACCGCTGACACCGCCGGGAGTTAGCGGGGCCACAACACCTGGCGTGCGGCGAGCCCCTGCCGGGAAGCTCCTCGCGCACGTCGGACACGTCGCCCGCTGGCTTTGAAGCCCCTGTGAAATCGGTGCCTGACACGATGCGCAAATCTGGCCTGCCATGGGCCTCAGAGATGACATTGACGCAACCAGTACATACGAGTTTTGTTTCTACATTATCGGGGGTCTATCGGTGTGAATGTGTCGGGATCAAAATGCTAAAATCTCGAAATCCTAGCTCACTTCAGTTGATGTCTTAATCGCAAACTCGTTGCTAGACACGCTAGAATAAAAATAATGCACGTACTGTACAAAAATCGGTACAGTACACATACAGTATACTCAGTACCGATATCCGTTGCGTCTACCAGTACGTGGTACCCGGCACAAACGTACGCTTATTCAAGGGGAAAGTTTACAAACCAGCGAAATTTGTTACGGTGTTTTCGACAGGACTAAACATTTCATACCACATAGTACAAGTTAATGGCACAGTATTGTTATGTGGGTGGTATTGAAAAATTACCGTATTTCATGATCATCTCCAAAGGTAAATCTTGATAAATTCCTGATATAGTTTTGATCTAAATATTCACTCTTAAAAGGAAAACGAATGAATTCTCCTTCATCAACGATTCAAAGATAAAAATGTTCACTAACGCAATTGCTCAGCCCCTCCCTTTTTCACCAAAAATAAATCAATAAAAAGAGAAAAAAAGGAACTGAAGAAACTTGGGGAGGGACCACGCCTCATAAATATGACAAGGTTGGAAAAAAAAGCGAACAGTTCTGCCTCCGGTTATCAACCTCCTTAATTTTACGGCCGCCGCCCTGAAATGTTTACTTAGCCCCCCTCCCTTCTGGAAAATCCTGGATCCGCTCCTGGTATATAGTCCTTAACTGAGATCCTGTCCTGCACTGAAAAGGCATTGTGGTCCGAAAAAATCACGGTTTCCAAAATTACGGCTATGTCTTTTCTCAGAATGTACCCATGAGTAAGTTGAGACGGGCAAAGACCGCACACCTAGCTCTAGACACATGATTTGGACGCAGCCTGTGCCCAACTTTACCCTGTTTATTATACCTCCCAGAAAATCTAATGTGTTTCAAGCGTTGCTGGTATTGAAATATGCGCAATGCGACCAATGTATAAGATTTTATGAATTTAGAATTTCATGCCCACACTATTATGTAAAAGCTCACCACAAAATGCGTTTGTATAAGATTCTCCAATCAAAATTATCATTGACCATTTTCAACCAATAACGTTCACTTACCGGCATGTTAGGTCAACAAGGCTGATCTCATCTTGATATCTGTACTCTTAAAGAAAATAGGGCGCTCCTTTTTGTGTAAATATGAAGCCATTTTTGTCTATACAAACAGAATGCCCCACCAGTTTGTCTGCGTATTCCGTAAGGTTTCAAATAAACTCGATAGGCGTGATAATAATTCAGTTGAAGAAGAATTAGCAAGGAAAAACTGGTAGCGCAAGGCCACAAAATAAGGCTCAACATTCTCGTGCAAAATATATACTGAACCTAACAACTCACCTGTCGGCTGCTTTCTGTAATTTCGCGCTGCATTTGAACTCTTTGTTAGTATCACTTACTCGAAGGAAATGGATTGCACTCGTTTTTTGCGACAAATTTTCTGCGTGGGAAGTGGTTTCGTAGACTTTTCAGTGGAATTATTGATACTAACTTGAAGTGGAAAGGAAATTTAGTGATACTTCAGCCTCAAGTCGCGAACTTCTTTGAAGCATTTGCCGAATGAAAGTTGAGAAGATGTTTCCCGGAGAGACGGACTGCACAAGGAGTCACACACCACGTGGCAGCGGGAGCTTCCGACTGCCCTGCCGAGTGCTGTCCTTTGACACTGCAAACGTCGGACTCAATACCTTTGCGGCACTGCACCGGCTTCACCAACTTCTGTCGGTATAAAACCACCGTCGTGAGTAAAAGAATTACGGAACAGAAACTTTCACTGAACTAGGCCTATGTGGGAATACTTTGTAAAAAACGGACAAAACTGACATAGGCGTAGGCCTCAACGTTTATGAAACTTTGCCTGCTCAGAAACTCAGTGAAAGGAGGCCTCCTTTTGATAGTACATTTGCAGAGCGTTGCAGTGGCTCTCACCGAACAAATATTTTGAGCTCCGAGAGTGCGAAAGTAGCCAAGAACAACTCAAACTTCAAAGGATTCGTGCTTGTGTAGAATTATTGTCTTTGGAAATACATGTATTCTGCGACATGGTATGTGAGATAAAGTTTTGTGCTCTAGGACAAATTAACAACTAAACACCGGTAAGTCAGAAACAAATTGGAGGTAAGTGAAAACTAGAAACCCCCCTTTTTGAAAATTTATTGGTTTTTGTATCCACAAGAATTGCCACAGCTTGCTCTGTAATTCAAAAAGAAATTTACAGATCCTCTGTATTCCAATATAACTCCCAGAAATCGAGAAACTACTACTACCTCGTCGGCCAATTTTACTCTGAAAATGTAGGAGTTTTCCTGAAGTTCTTGGTAGTAAACATGGTAAACCCGTTCGCTCTTACAGGCCTACTTACTGTAAGGTCTGTGAGCAAGCGTGATTTTTCTCCCAACTGTATTTGTCTTCTTGTGAGCTGTATCGTATGTATACAAATTACCACCTGTGAAGTCTTTTGAGTAAATTCCTTCGCGGAAATCAGAACAATACACAAGTGTACATGCGCAGGTTGTAGGCTCGCCCGTCGAATATACATGGAGTTAACTGTTGTATGACCTTTAGCCTTTTGACGACGTTGATTAGAGCTGCATGGCTGTTTTGGTAGTGTGTTTAATTACATGTAACTTTATATATGGAAAACGCGCCGCGTTATTTCATTAAAGTTTATAATTATGCAATTGTAACTTTATACTGAAACACCTTGCAGTTGACATGCACAGTCCTGGCGTATTAGAGCCCGAACGGAAAATAAGTTGTCAAAGCCTATCTTCAAATTCCTTCAGGGTCTACAAGTATTTTCAGTGTAGCAACCGCATAATGTGTCGATTTCAGCTGACGACCCTGTTACTGAAAAATCTCCATCACATTCACCCTGGTCAACAGAAAACAGAGGCCAGACATCATGGACTTGGGGGCATTACTTCAAGAGAAGGGTTATTCCTCAGCATGCAATGATATGCATAAAATGTACACCCACCCAAGAACCTATAAAAAATCTACCCATCTTCAAGAATAACCTGCAAGACCACGTGCATGGTTTATGAGGCATACATTTTTCTTCGAGAATACACATTTTTATGTCTTCGTCCAACAAAAACCATTTCAAGTTCGAAGAAGCTATATGAACTAGTGAGGAAAGAATCCGATGCTTGAATCTCCGTCAATTTTGAGTGACGTCTCATTCACCTTCAAGCTGAAATAGAAACTGCAGCCTTCAGCGTAATTTCATTCGAGAGATGATGCTTTCTGTCCCTGTGTCCATGGATCAACGGATGCAAACTGAGTGAATTTGTTGTCATAATGAGGGATGGGGGATCTTGGAGATTTCAATTTTTTTTAAGTCTTAAATGACTTTTCATTTTTAAATGCATAGTACAAAAACGATTTATTTATTAGTTTTTTTAATAAATAAAAATAAACTTATAGACCACTTAAAAAGTAGCTTATACGAATGAGCTTACATATCTAATTTGACTCAGTATTTGTGAGTTACCACAAAGTACATGTAGAGTGGGGCGGGGAACGAACGCGACGTGCGATCAATGCATGTAACCGCAACATAACACACTGCAAGCGCGTGCGCGCGAGAAAGTAAGTTGGTGAGTGGCAGAGTCGTGAGTTTCTGTGAGTTGGTCTTCATTGTGAGTACATAGAGCTGCTAATGAGTGGCAAGTGATATATCTTGTGAGACTGATTTGTCATGAACTCAGCGTTTCCGATATTCGGAAACGGGTATACGGATTCGGAAACCGTGCTCGGATTCGGCATGTCACTGAGTAGGCCTACTCGGTACATTCGGTTTCGGTATTAATAAATCAGTATCGATTCAATCATTCATTTCGATCGAATCGATACCGAGTCTCAAGTCTGTGCGAAAGTGGTGTGTGAGTTTTAACTGAGATGGGCAGATGAGATTTTTATAGTGAGTGGTAAATAGTGAGTGAAAAGAAAAACTAGTGAGAAAATGTTGGTAACCATGCAGTGCACTGCTGCGGCATGCAACGCACTAAGCGACTTTTGCGCAGCAGCGAAAGTGGGAGTTAGGGCCGATATAAATAGGTTCAGCTAGGGAGTTTCAGTTCACACGAAACAAACTATTAAACACAAAATCAATACTTAAATACAGCTTAACGAAGTGAATAATTTAGTCAGGTTTATTTGTCTTAAACCGTTGCAATAAACCAACAATAATTGGAGGGGTAGTCTGAAATAAGAATCATGTTTAGAGTAGAGAATTTTCGTGGTTGAATATTTTCACCTGATAATGGTGAATAGTTGTGACCAAAGCTTCAAGACATCGGAATTAGAATATTTCACTGCGAAGAAGAATTAAGGCACAACACAAGAACCTGTCTTCTTTGTCATTCGCACACCTGATTTGTTACGTTATTCATCCCTTGAGCGGAAAAACAAATTGTCTTCATCAGTGACTGTCTCCACTAAACACTTCAAATTTTTGCATTTTCGAAAAGACGTTTCAGTCAACTCCGACGATGGTATGACTACACGCGTGATACTTCATCGACGTCTTCTTCATTGTCGGCGATTGCTCAAGGATAATGAATTAACATATAAATGAAATGTTGAAGGACGAGGAAGTAATATATTAATGAAATTTTCAAGGATTACGAAGTAATGTGTTCATGAAAAATCTGTCGTGGTACATGCTTTGTCCCCCATGGCCTCATGGCAGATCTCCCTACAAAACTCGCACGAGGCAACCCAACAAAATCTGCTGACTTCTCAATTGTGATCCCTTTTTCAAGAGTCAAAATAAAGACAAATCAAACATCGTCAGTTCGGAGTAATTTCCAAGAATATCAAGTTCTCAGAGAAGTGTTTAGACTTCAAGATTGGGAAACGCCTCTTCAAGAATTCGGCATCTGAAAACTTCTTGCCATCCTTGGACACCTTTGCAAGGAGTCGGGATATCGTCAACAACTGCATCATTCTTCTATGGACACCGATCGAGGATGATCATTCTTCATACATTCTAGGCAATATACAGTACTCTTCTTTATATTCAAGACCAACATCAAGCGTAACTGCGGATCTCCAATCAAGATGTCTTCAAAATGTCTTCTTCGTATTTATCGTCAA